CTGTAGAGGCACTGGGGGTCAATTCTCTAACCTGACCCACTTTCTCTAAGCAGGCCTGCCCTATGGTCAGAACTCCAAATGAAAGAAATACTTTGCAAGCTGGGTGCTATACAGAGGAGAGACAAAGGAGGAGATTGGAGCCAGATCCTTCTAGGGTTGTGCCTAAATCTTCCAGTTTCCTAAAAGTTTTCCTCCCTTGTAAGGGAATCTCCCATTTTGTTTCCTCAATTTCAGAAGACATTAGGCATTTTAAAAAAGATATTTTTGAGTGTAGGCTATCACTGCAGAGTTTCTGAAAGCTCTCTCTCTCTCTCTCTCTCTCTCATTGCCAAACACAACTAGTTTAAGATAGAAGGTCTGCCACCAAATGGATGGCTTGGCTGCTTCTCCTTAGAAATGCAGTGGAGGGAAAAATGGGTTGTCAACTGTGTAAGATTAAGGTCTCTGAATTTTGCTTGATGCCTGGGAACTGCATCTATGCAATTGTCCTGGTAATATTTAGGAAATGCTTTCTGCATGTTACAGGAAAGGGACATAGCAAATCTTTTTTTAGCACACAATCGACCATAGGGACATAACGAAAATATGAAATAAGGGCTCCTCTGAATTGGAGAGAGGGTTTTTTTTTTCCCCCTACAAGATTGTAAGTCCAACTTCCACAGCCATTGCTGAAATTCATATAAGGGTTTGAATAGTAATACCTATTTTATTTATTTTATTTATACATTCGATTTATTGTCTGCCCATCTCCCCCCAATGGGGAACTCTGGGCGGCTCACAAAGTACATATATATAATTGTAACAGTGAGACAGTGAAATCTTACAATCTTACAAATCTTACAATTAGTGCTGTTACGCTGTGTGTCCAGCAGGGGTCGCTAGGGGGTCATCCGGGCTTTTCCTCCTCCGTAGATCTTGCTCGTCGCTCACGCCGGCTGCATTCGGAGTTCGGCCAGCACCGCCGGTTCCTCCCATCTAAACGGGAGTACCCATTTATCTACTCGCAGCTGGGATAGCTTTCGAACTGCTGGGTGGGCAAGGAGTCGGCAGCTTATTCTTTCCACCCATTTGTGGATCTTGTGAGAAACTTCCAGATGGAACTTGAATGGTAAAACTGCCTGAAAGCACTACTGTTCTCTTTTTTTCTGCCAGTTCAGGAGGCAGCACTGTTTTATTGGTAACACTGGGAGCCATTAGTGAGCGATAGTGAGCAATAGAAAAAAACCTCAGTGACTGAGTGATAAACTCTTTGTAAAATGTCACGAATACGGCAAGGTGCCAGAGGCTTAATCTGAAATTCTTGAGACACCCTGGTGGCACCTGGAGCAAATCTGATTTTCTTCCAGTTTTCACCTATAGAACTATTCCTTTATTCTTCCTTCCACACAGAGGGATTCGGAAGGCAAGCATTCCTTAATCTGAAGTTGTAAAAGGAGTGATCTACTTTTAACTGATTACAACAAAGAGCGTTCTGACATCTTGAAAACTAACAAATCTTTGTTGCAATAGAATAACAAAACTACCCCTCTGGAAATCCTAATATGCATATGAAGCATCACGCTGTTGTTTGGAATCTTGCTGGCTGGGGAATTCTGGGAGTTGAAGTCCACCCATCTTAAAGTTGCCAAGGTTGAGAAACCCTGAATTAGGGAACGGAGCAAAAGGCAAACTTGAACTTTAGCAATGAGCATTACCTGGGGAGAAATGACCAAATGACATATGACCAGCTTAGCTTGCTTCCCCAGTGTGATGTAAATTGCCCTATTCATTCATTTATTTATTTATTATATTTATATAGCCGCCTGTCTCACACAAGGTGACTCTGGGCGGCATACAGCTACCATTACCCTACCACTCAGGGTGAGCAGCAGAGAGTAATGTACAACAGAAAGTTTATGCAATGGAAATCAAAGGCATTAAAAACATTGGGCCAAGTCATTCTCTGGTTGATTTGGGTTTTGCTTAGCATATTGTGTGAGCCCAGTGCTTAACAAACCCTGGTTTATGGCACAGCTTCAGTTTTTCTCAAAGGTTTATTCAAAACTGGCTCCATGTGGCTAAGCCTATAAACAGAGCACTGGAATCCAGTGCTTGTTCAGAGTCTGCTAAGCTGTAAACCACCATTAATACATCACAAGAACTAAATTGCAAACGTACAAACAGTATTCGATCCCCAAAAGATGCCTTTGGGATGGGAGACAGCATCCTGGGCAGGCTACCAATTTATCTCCTGCTAAATGGATGTTTGACTCCCCATGGAGGCAGTTTGCCAATAGCTCTGCCTGTTCTGGCAGCAACTTGGGGCATGTGCTCACCCCATGCTTTGAAATGTGCCCCGGATCAAAAAAGTTGCCTGTTTCTCCCTTAGTTGTAGTGCAAATACGGCCAATGCATGGTTGAGGGTATCACTATTTTGTGATCACTCAGCCAGTATTGTGAAAATAAGACATCTGGGTTAAGTTTTTCACTTCTCCACCCTTTGACTGGATTCACACAACATGCTAAATCATGGTTGTGTTTGCTTGGTTAGTCTTGTGTGAACCCAAGCGCTGCACCAGGTAACCCATTATTATGGCTTAACGTTTTGGCCTATCCAACTGTGGTTTATTCAGTAAGCAAAGCGGTGGCTCAGTCAGCCTGCGAATATAACCGATGGCTTCTGAAGTACCAGAATTCTAGCAGGGAGAGAAACGGATCCACCTTAAATACGACTAAAGGAGAAACGCCTCCAAGTTGGGAGCCTGCTGGCGCGCGGAGAGAGGGAACATCCATCAAGCGGGCGGTTCCGCGCGCCTGTTGCACAGCTGGGGACAGCGTCGCCAGCGGAAGAAGCGCTTCTGCTCTCGATCCGGACGCCTTGCGCAGGCTTGGAAAATGCCGCTCCGCCTGACGTGCGACGTCTCCGTAGTGCGCCGCTCGGAGCCTTCGGCGGAGGGTCGCCCGTCGGAGCGCCCCCTCCGAGCTCGTCTCTCTCTCCGGAAACCGCCCAAAGGAAGGCGCGGCTCTGCCTGCGTGCTGATCAACACCGATCCTCACCGCGGCTCAACCAAGTACAAGGTAAGGCAAGGAAGAGGCTGTTACGGAGCGAGTCGTGCGCCCCTTGGCCCTCCTCCTGCAGGGCTTGACTCGGGCGGCGGCAGCGCCCACCCTCCCCGGCTATCACGACCCCTTTAACACCTGTCACTTGCAGCTCGGATGGCCCATTTGGAGCAGTGCCCAGGTCGATTCAACTACTGATCTTGCTGTCGCCGCTCCCCAGCTTTGGAGATTCATTCATTCATTCATTCATTCATTCATTCATTCATTCATTCATTCTTCACTTACTTACTTGCTTTTGGGGATGCATTATTTATTACTTACTTCCGTACTTGCTTACTTGCTTACGGACTTAATTATTTGGCCGCCCTGTATCTCTGGGGTGCTCACAAAAGTTAAAAAAAAAAAAATCAAAACAACGCAACAACTTAAAACCATATAACAAAATTCACAGCCGAGGTATCTCCTGTCCCAAACTTCGACACAACTCAGAAAGCTGAGAAAGCAGGCTGCAGGGAGCTCTGCCATCCTCTTCCCCTCCCCCAGGGGAAAAAGAAGAATGGAGGGTAGAGGAGAGCGCCTGGACCAAGGGGACCAGACCCACCAGCCCAGCACCACGTGGGGAGCGGAACTTCTCCTGCCTCCTCCGGACCCCCTGGCTGCGCCCCTATAGGCATGGGGGGTGAAATCCAGCAGATCAAAAGTCCCTAGAGTTGGATCTAGACTTGATATTGCTTAGATGGGGGGTTATTAAACTTTTTTTCTTCTCGGGACCCTTCCCACTTGTAAAAATTATGGAGCACCCCAAAAGAGCTTATATGTATCAATATTTACCATATTAAAAATTAAAATTGTGGCATTTGCCGCCTCTAGTGCTTCTCGTGATTGTTTGATGAGATTTTAATATTGTGCTGTTTTCCAACATAGGCTGGCAAATAATTTTGATTTTGAGCACACTTGAGAGGGTCTGGGGGAACCCCCAGGGGTCCTAGGACCACGCTTTAAGAAACACTGGCTTAGGCTAACTGAGCAATAACTGATGTGAGGCATAGGTGTGGCCACATTTCAATATAGCCCACTGGCACCAGTACTGAGGGAAGCGTACTGAAAGATGAACTCTCTTTCTAGTTGAACTGAACTCCTGGTGGCTTTATGAACGCGTCTGCGAGATCCGGTTCTCCCGTTGATAAGGAGCAGGCCCTCCAAAATAAACAGAATCCTACCCCTTATGCCTGTCATTTCTCATTTGAAAATGAAATACTTCCTGGAATTCTTGTGTTGCAACTTTAATCCCTGAAGCACAATTAGTTAGAGCTCTGAAATACCTGTTTCTTGTTTGGGTTGCTACAAGAAAAATCCATTTTGGCAACAGTAAGATAATTGGTGGCTTTCCATCCCATCCCATGGTATCCTTCTGGACTGACTCAGAGGATTGGGTGTGGGCGATACAGTGTTGTGCTGGTTTACCTCCTTTTTCTGGGGTCGATTCCAGTCGGTGGTGATTGGGGGGAGAGATCCCACCCTCGGCCCCTACTGTGTGGGGTACCGCAGGGGTCAGCGCTCCTGCCGCTCTTCTTCAGCATCTAGGTGAGGCCGCTGGGTGAGTCATCCGTCACCACCAACTATACATCTTATACATTTCAGCCTCTGGCAAATTAAGCAATGCTGTGGATGTCTTATCCCAGTGCCTGGAGGCTGTGAGACTCTGGATGGAGAACAACAGGCTTCAACTGAACCCTGGCAAGATTGAGTGGGTTTGGATTTGGGGGCCTGCCACTTCTAGGAGTATGCCCCTTTGGTGCTGAATGGGGTTGCACTGCCCCAGACAGACCCTGTGTGCAATCGGGGGGTCCTCCTAGACTCACAACTCCTGCTCAAAGAGCAGGTAGCAATCATGGCTAGGGGGGCCTTTGCTCAACTTTATATTTTGCACCAGTGTGCCTATTCCTAGATTGAGGGGCTCTACTCATGGTTACTCATGCCCTAGTCACCTCCCAGTTAGACTACTGTAATGTGCCGTATGTGGGGCTGCCCTTGAAGAGTATCCGGAAGCTTCAGCTGGTACAGAGTACAGAATCTAGAAGAATACGCATTATACCTCTGCTCCATGAGCTGCATTCGTTACCAGTCTGTTTCTGGGTCCAATTCAAGGTGCTGGTTTTGAACTGTAAAGCCCTTCATGGCATGGGACCGGGCTATTTGAGGGACCGCCTCCACCTAATTACATCTGCCCATTCCACCAGATCCAGCAAAGAGGCATGCTGTGGGTCCCATCAACTAGGGAGCTACACTTGGAGGGTCCTAGGCAGCGGGCCTTTTCTGCTGTGGCACCTGCTTTATGGAATATTCTCCCCACCCCCACACCGAAGTAAGGCTGGCTTCATCCCTTTTGACTTTCTGAAAGTCCCTCAAGACCTAGTTGTGCTATCAGGCCCAGGGACCCCAGAGGACTGGTGAAATATTGAGGTGGCTCCACTGTTATTAACACCTGCTCTTCACCCAGTATTTATTTTTTATTTTTTGTTAGTATTTTTTAAAATAATTTTAAAGATGATGATGATGATGATGATAATAATAATAATAGTTTTGTAAAAAGGTTTTTTAACTTTGTTGTATGCTGCCTAGAGTCACTTGTTCGTGAAATGGGAAGCCATATAAATTGGACAGATAAATAAATAAATAATATTGCGACATCATCTTTTCCCAGAATGCGTTAATTAAACCAGGAGTTTCCTGGCAGCTTTCCACGCAAGTACTAATTTGCTTAGCTTTTTCTAAATCAGCCAACTCCTGTTACAGGAAATATAATAATCTCTAAAGATGTCACTGTTTAATCCCCCTGAACATAAACTAAGAGGAAATGAAGATGGATTTGCTTAATGTTGTAATGCAGGTTAGGGAAAGATTGAAAAGTAGACTGGTAGAAAAAAATTTTGCAAGGAAAAAATGTCAGTACTTCTGCTTTGTAATATCATGACAATTCTCCAACTTCTGTATTGGAAAACTGGGTCATTTTTCAACTTAGGGTTTACTTGAAGACGTCTAAATCCATCAGATTGAGACATACTGTAATTCATTAATGAGCTCTCGTTGTTTATAGTTATTCAGCCAGACAAGGATCTATCTGAAAATAAGAGTCTTGCCAACCTTTTCTCAACCTGACAACAAGTACTTGGGGGAACCCTCACTTTGTGAATAAGTTGTTTATCATGTTTTTATGTCTTACTGAGCTGGTAGCTATTTAAAAATAGAGGTAACTAATCTAGAACAGGAGTCTTAAACTCAAATCACCATGGATGTTACACAAACACTTGGGCCACAACACAGAAACCTTGCTGTACATTGATTCCAAAGTCTCTAGTTAATCAGAATGGAAGGAAATGAAGTGTATCAGAGTATGTTATTACACATAAACTTTACTATGAAATAAAACTACTTGCAAAACACAGCTGTGAAATAGAGCCATTTCTTTTTGGCCATTTAGTTGGCACTATTTTTCATTAATCAAAACACCAATATTTGGTTTTATTAATGGGTTAATATGTTATCTTTTGCTCAAGTCAGATCTCAGATGATATGATAGCTGCCCAGAGTCACCCGTTGGGGGAAGATGGGCGGCATACAAATTTAATAATAAATAAATAATAAAAAATAATCAAGAAACCCATTCCACTAAGAGCTGCGTAAATCCTGCTTTTCTCTTTCTCTCTTTGCTAAGCAGAAATATTTTTCTTTTCTTCAATCTTTTTCTTGTTCACTTTCCTTTCTCTTATTTCTCCTTCTCTGACAGGGTCTTCCCCCCCTCCTCCCCCCCATAGCAGAGAGATCTTGTTTGCTTGCTTGCTCACTGTCTGTCCCATTCCTCGCCCCACTGAGAGACCTTTGCAGCAGGATGGCTCAATCCAGCCCTCCTCCTCCACTCCTTCCTTCCTGCTTCCCTTCCTGCCTGCCTGCCCGCTCTCCCTTTCACAAGAGCCCAGTCACCCTGTCACTTCAGAAGCAATACCCACTACAGAGCATCAGAGTGGGTGGGAGTTCCTGGTAAGCAGTGTTACTCAGCACAGGTGGCCTCAGGGCACCAGCTATGCAACCCAACTGATCAGGCCACAATGTTATCAGGAGATCCACCAGATCAAGATTTGGTAAGCCATTTCCTGGAGTGCTTCTTGTGGTCCAGCTTGTGCATTTAGATGTTGTTTGGGGTTCAGCATCCTGTCCTTTCTGGTCAGCAACCTTACAACTTATAAAGCATTGTTGCAGGCTGCAGAAAACTACTTGGAAGGCTTTTTGCAACTCACAGCTGTGAATTTGAGACTCCTGATCTAAATGTCTGATTCACGACAACCCAATAATGGCCCTTACCTACTTAACAATTCTGTATTGATGTTGGCCTAAATTTGTCGATAATGTGGTTTCTAAAGGAGTATGTTTGTTCTGTGTCTGTCCATTTCATCAATGTCCATTTTTTAAACTTTTGGTAAGCAGAAGCTTACCTATATTTTCTCAAATAGAAAATTTGTGGCTTTCCATTCTTCCTAAACTTCTTTGGGATCATTATTGTTTTGATCCTGATGTGAAAATCCAGGGACAGACCTTTGAATATTGCTATGGTGTTAGAAGTGGGATGGTAAGAAAGAGAGAGCAGTATTGATGGGGAAAATGTATTATTGAAACTTAAAAATGGATTGGTGAATTGAGCTTAGGGACAATCTGCTAGCTAGCAAGCCTATCTTCACCACTGATGGTTTTATTTACAAGGAGAGCAGGAGTTATGATGTGTTCCTTTTTTCCCCATCTCAGCATCTAGCTGGCTGCCAGTTTGAAGGTATGATACACTGAATGTACATGTTATTTACTCATTTTTATTTCAACGTAGACTTACTCTTCCCCCCCCCCATATAAAATAGTTGAGAGAGAACATAGAAGAAGTCTTTTGTGACATAAAGAAAAGAAAAGCCACCATAAGGCTGAAAGAACCAGAAGTGGATCTCTGTCTCATCACGGTAAGGGATCTGTCTTGGGAAACAGCTGGTCTTCCAAATGTCCATTCTCCTGACCCTGTAAGCACCAGAGGGAGTGAGATATTCAGACATTCCCAGATTGTATCATCAATCTGTTAAGTGGTATTTCAAAGCAGGAGAAAAAGAATCTCACAGATGTATTTTCTAATATTCCAGATGTAATAAATAGCAAGAAGCTTTGCGACCCTTTGCAAATCTGAGAGTGAAAGAGAATATATGGAAATTGTGCACACATTTGTTAATGCTGGTACTGTCAACCCATTATTGTTAATGCTGGTACTGACAACTGTCTCTTTTGCAGCAGTTTTAGAATCACATCTTTTTAGATACAAAGAGAAAAAAAATCAATACCCATCATTATTTAATGTATCATAAATGCTTTTCAGATTTCATCTAAGAATAGCAAGTGCTTCAGGTTGTAATGTACAATAATTCATCAGATTGCCATAGTGCAGCATTTATGTCCACATGGCTGAATTATACCAAAGCTTTTTAGTCCTAAAATGTATTTTCTGTCAGCACCTATGAGAAGCTTTTTCTGTGCCTCAGCAAAATATGTTATGTTCTTTCGGGTTTCTACGTCAATAATAATTCTTCATTGTGATAAACTATACTGGACAAAACTATTTTGTGCTTTTCAAAGGCAGGCTATTTGCTGATCTCCTTTCATATCTAGATTATGGTCTGAAAAATATATTTATCAGGAAAATGAATTATGAACACTGATTTTCTGTGTGCACTATTTTTGTTGGCAGGGAGAGATCAAGCAGCTGAAGAGTTTTATGTCTGCAGTGATGCAGGGCTATCAAGGCAGTAAACAGGAATGTTTACCTGGTCCCAATCTCAGTCCCACAAAAAAGGTCTAAACATTGAAAAACCAAAGGAGAGCATCTCCAGGCTTCCCACTCTTGCAAGTTAGCCACACTGATATGCTCTAGTGGCTGAAAAATATCGAGAAACTGAACTGGACTCCTAATTCTACTAACATGCTGCTAAGCTCCATCAGGGATCACGTCTGCCTTTACATGCCAAACATCAGCATTGTGCAAAATGTGAGACTCACTGCAAAGGGCTTCCACAGAGGCTCCAAGCAGCCCTTCTATGAAAGCACTGTCACAGGTTCTTTTCTGGACTACAAATAATCTTTTCTGGACTCACAAATGTGTGAGTCGCCCAGAGTTCCCCCATTGGGGGGAGATGGGCAGGAGACATTTAATAAACAAACAAACAATCAGACTGACCCAGATTCAATAAAGGCACAAAGCACCAGAAACCTGGACAGTTGGTTGCTTTTTTTCTACCTCAATTTTCAATGGCTGGGGGAAACTTGTATTTTACAAAACAAGGGCACTTAAAAAAAGGGAATCATAAATTATAAATGCCTTCAACTATTTCAGAAACTATTATCTTACAACTAAAATTGCTGGCTGGGGAATTCTGGGAGTTGAAGTCCACATCTCTTAAAGTTGCTAAGGCTGAGAAATACTAATCTAGGGGGGAAAACCCTAATCAAGATTAAAAATAGCCAAAGCTTCACAGAGAAAAAGGCACGTGCTACATAATTAACTGATCTTTTTAAACGGGTTGTGCAACCTAGCCAGCAGGATACTCTTGTACACAGAATCCATTGTTAGCCATAGGGAACTGGATGCCATGATAGTTCTCACTGTAAATCCATACTCAGCCTACATGAATTAGGGAAAGAACCTTATCTGAACGGCCCAATTCTAAATCCCAGTAAGGATAATTAGTTTCTGCTATAGACCTATTAAAATTATTACCTGCTTGGTCAGTTCTTTCTCTCCTGTCAGGATTAGAAACGATTAGGGACAATCCAATAGTACTTGATTCTACAATATTTTATTCTCTGGTAGGATGTAAATTGCTTTTGAGATGCGGTATGTTGTAAGAAAATAATTTAGCGATACCCGTATATGCGAGAAAAGGGGGTCCTGGCTCTGCTATGGCGTCTACTTCAATCGCCTGCCATTCTTTCCTCTTTAAAGCTGGGGGAGAGCAATCCACGTTATAAAGACTTCCCCAATTTAGTGTCTTCTGTGCTAAGTGGGAATTATGGGATAATTCGCCTGACTGAAGACCCAACTCAGATCAGGATAACCCTTCACAGGGCCGCCGTGGGTCGACGTCGACTCGACGGCAACCAACCACAACAGTCCCAGCCCAGTAAAAGGAGAAGGAGAAGGCGTTGGTGCGGATGTAGAAAAAAATCAGGCCGGTAGACAGGCAGTCGAGTAAACAGCTCTGCTTTCCGCGCAAGCGTGGAAGGGATGGAAGGAGAAAGGCCCCGCCTCCTTCGCAGCGGGTTGCGCGCGCAGGTGGCGGGAAGCGCCTTCCTCTCAGCCGGTCTGTTTTGAAAGAGTTGGCCGGGCGCTCGCGGGGCTAGTCGGAAATGCGCCTTCCGTGCGAGGTGGTGGTGGTGAGTCGCCTGCTGCCCTCAGCGGGGATGCGGGGTCCGGGACGCGCCGTCAGGGCTCTGCTCGCTCTGGGGAAGCCAACCGGAGGAGACGGGGGCGTCTGGCTTCTGGTCAGCACTGCCCGCCACCGCCCTGGAGCGAAGTACCAGGTGAGGAGCCGCGGGGAAGGAAGGGGGTCGTGGCTGTTACGAGGCCTCCGAGGCCTTTTCCCGCAGTTTGAGCAGCCTTCCTCAGCCTTGGGTCCTCCACGCCTAATCCCTCGTCTGCACGGTCCCTTTAACGCTGGTCAGTACTTCGTTTGAGATGACCCATTTTAAGAAACGATGGCACGAATTCCCAGACTTTTCTTGCCGATAGCCTGTTCAGCTGATACTGAGCATTCATTCATTCATTCATTCATTCATACAGCCGCCCATCTCGCATATGTGACTCTAGAAGGCTTACAATAAAATAGGTAAAACAAATACATAGAATAGAATAGCATTTTTATTACGGTCACAGACCAGAAATAAAATGCATAATATAAAATAAAAACACCTAGCAGCTGGGCATCATTAAATAGCCATCGATAAAGCCAAGAGATGGCCTTTATCAGACTTCCAAGGCCCCAGGCTTCGGTACAAAGACAAGGTTTTAAGGGGCTTGCAAAGGGCCAGCAGGATCAGGGCTAACCTAATCTCAGGTGGAATGATGATCCACAGAGAAGACACCACAGCAGAAAAGGCTCTCCTCCTGGGTCCCACCAGCCAACACTACTTAGCTAATGGTACTCAGAGCAGAGGATGCCAGAGACTACACTTTCTACAAAAGCAGAGGGTGCTTAAAAGCTTATACACTAAGCCACAATGAAAGCAAGAGCTTGGAGATGATGGTCAAGATCTAAGCAGAACAAAAATGAACTGTTAGCAGCAGGTATTGCCAGGAGACCTGAGATATTTCTACTGAAGAGAAAGATTTTATGGATGAGAGCTTGAGAAGGAGATTAAAACAGAGAGAAAAGTATTCTAATGTGATAAATGCATCCCCTGAATTAGATATAGATTTATTATATTTGGAGTGGATGCATTGGCTTTGTTTGCATGATATAGTTGCCTATGGTTCATTGACACATGGTCTGCTCAATCCAGTTTTCACAGTTTGCTTGACACTTTGAACACTAATTGCACAGACTGGATTAACACAACGTAGTCGGTGAAAATGTGATTAGCTAGTTTGTGATGACCTTGCCAGTTTGGTCTAGTGATTAAGGTGCTGGACTAGGAGCAGGGAAACCTGAGTTCTAGTCTTGTCTTAGGCTTGGTTGCCAGCTGGATGACTCTGGGCTAGTCATTCTCTCTCAGTCTTAAGAAGGCAATAGCAAACCACTCCCAAAAATGTTGCCAAGAAAATTGCAGGGATTTGTCCATGTAGTCACCAGGAGCCAAGGCTGACTCAAAGGCACACCCAGAAAAAAAGATTGTGATTTAGTGTGTTGTGTAAGTCAGTATTTGAAAGGCCTTGAGTTATCTGCATCTAACTTATACATTGAGTCTACAGTAAGTATGGATACATTTCATTAAAACATACTTGAAGCAGTCATATAGTAAGTGTAGGAAGAGCTAGGCATCTCAGTATTGATAAATATTAACACAAAACACTACCTTGATAGTGTAATTAATGTAAGATGGCAAAGAGTAAATAAGATGCAAAAGATATGAGAAAGCAAGACCGTTTATCAACTTACAAGAACACTGTCAAACAGGGATTCTTGTATAGAATTTAACCACAACATAGCAATAATAGAACAAGTCCTTTAAATCAAATGGATTAACATTTTAAAGAAAATTTATTAATAAGTTCAGAAAAAAAGAAATAAAGTTAAAAGTGCAGAAAAAAAGAAAAAATAGGTGACTTCTGACTTTCTTTGTTACAGATACAAATATAGAATATGTACATCTTTTACTCTAAACATATAACTAAAACAAAATACTTCTCTAATCCTAAAATCTAATAATTATCAAAACCCCAAGTCAGCATGGCATTTTACAATCCCAAGCAAAAAAAGAAAAACAAAAGCAATTTCCAAAGAGAAGCAAGACTAAACTCCCCCTTTTTAAAATTCAGTATACTATGTCACCATCTCCACCACTACCATTAATGTCCAATCCTAAATATCTGTTTTTGTCCTCTATGTGCATATAAAAATCTCACTATTATTATTATATACCATCATCCCTTCCAAAAAATAATAGAAAC